GCATTTTTCTTATGTAATCAATTTCCATCTTATATTCGTTCTGGGGACTATAAATGCTAAAAAACAGTGTGTGGTGCTGAAATATGAAATGCTGTCGACTAATTTCAGGGGGAAGTTGTGTGCTGTGAGAGTGGTGAGGTGCTGGAACAGCTGCCCAGAGAGGCTGTGATGCCCCGTCCATCCCTGGAGGTGTTCAAGGCCAGGTTGGATGGGGCCCTGGGCAGCCTGGGCTGCTGTGAAATGGGGAGGTTGGTGGCCCTGCATGGCACAGGGGGGTTGGAGCTTCGTGATCCTTGAGGTCCCCTCCAGCCCAAACCATTCTGTGATTCTGTAATTTCAGGACACAAGTCATCCTTTATTTAAGCCATAAATCAATGGGACAGGGACACAGTAGTTAAAGAATCCCGAGCTGCCCCATGCCTGGGTATGGACATGGTTGTTGCAGAGCTCATCACCGCAGACCCGATAGTTTGGGCTCAGTATTTACCATTGCCAGAATTGTAAACAAGCACAGCACAGCAAGCGGGGCACACAGTCCACCTGCAGCCCCAGTGAGAGCAGCGCACTGCCAGCAGCCACTGGAGCTCCTCCTGCCCTGCTGGAATGAATGGTGCTTGAGCTGAGCTCCGGTGGCACAAAGCTCACCGGCGTGTATTGACCCGATGCACATTTTCACGAGTGAATTTCAACCTTTGGGAAGGCAGATTTTGGAAGGAGAGCCTTGGCACGTCCTTAGCTCCAGTAATAATTGCTGACGCTGCTGGAGTCGCTCCGACTAAAAATACCCGACGCAATAACAAACCCAGTGAACCCATCCGCTTTCTCCTTTTTTCACAAATCCTATTTACTTCTATAGCTCAAAATACATTCTGTGTTCGGTGTATTTACAGCACATTGCAGCCTCACGGACTGGCAGCACAGCTGTTTATTTAGGGAACGTTGTCCAGGTTGGAACCTTTCAAATGTGACAATTATTTTTCAACAGTGTGTGCTAGGCCTGTCTTTTATAAACGCAACCCTGAACAACCCTGTGCTGTCTGAAACATCACCTTGCTGGCAGAAAGAAACGTAATTACGGCCGTATCCACAACGTGGTTAAAAGTGGGGGTTGGAGGTTCATGATCCTTGAGGTCCCTTCCAACCCTGGCCATTCTGTGAATCCGTGTGAAAAGCGAGGAAACCAAAACACGATCACAACTGCAGCGAACGCAGCCGTGCGGGCGAAAATCTGCTTTTATAACGTGGAGCTGAAGGTGTTTGTTAAGACCCAATCTGCAACGCAAGCACATTTCTTTTTTCACCAACCTCCTACCATTCTCTTAACATCTTAAAATATGACCCGTTTTGCAACCGGGGCCGCAATTCCGAGAAGTTGTGCAGTGAAAGCCGAGCAGAGCCGAGCAGCGGGGTTGCTCTCCGCTTCAGCCAAACCCGAGTTCCAGATCCTATATATCATAACAGCAATCGCTTGCACTAAAACATCCCATCCAGCTTCCACGCAGCTCCATAAACCTTCCCGGTGCTTTTATTAATTTGTCCATAACTGTTGAAATAAAACTCCTAACGCCGTGAGCTGTTCCAGGCTGCGCTCAGTTCCCACTCACTGTGTAAATGTTGAGCAGAGAGGCATTTTTGCTCGCAGACTGAAAATCAGCTGTGCCAGATAACCTGAGCCTTCGTCAGGGCGTTCAGCGGAAAGTTTTATTTCGGCATTATAAATAACCATGGACTATTTTGAGTGACCTTAGAATCCCAGCATGGCCTGGGTTGCAAAGGCCCACGGCGCTCCTCCAGCTCCAACCCCTGCTGTGTGCAGGTCACCAACCAGCAGCCCAGGCTGCCCAGAGCCACATCCAGCCTGGCCTTGAATGCCTGCAGGGATGGGGCATCCACAGCCTCCTTGGGCAACCTGTGCCAGTGCTTGCAGAAATATAGAAATATAAACCTTACCCCCGTAGCTTCCAATAACTTATTTTGGTTTATTCTAATTTTTTATTTTACTTTAGCAGGAAGAGAGGTAACAGTAAAACTTTTTAGTATATAAGTAATTAAAACTGCAAACGTATCTTCTGGTTGGAAATGAAATAAATCACGGCCGCCGGGCACACGTAGCAACTGGCTGTAAGGGAGCCTCTCGCCTTCCTCCGAGCACCTTCGCAGTGGAATGCATTTCCCCTTCGGCCAAAGGGGGGAGAAACGCGGCCATGAGCGTCCTACCCAAATCTATTTTCTTACTGCAACTGCGGTAAAGCAGCGCTTCCGAGCGCCCGTGTGCGGAGTAGGGCTCGTCGTTCAGGAGCGCAAGGCGAGCTCCGGTGGGGATACCCGCCGGGTGGGAACCTTCCGCATCCACCGACGGGAGAACGACTACTAAAAAAGCGATAAAAATAAAAGGAGAAAGGAGAGAGGGAGAAAGCCGGCAGCTCGCCGGGTCTGGGGCTGCCGCTCCCCACGGCGGCCGTGGGAAAGGAAAAGGAAGGTTCGAAGGTACGGAGCCGGCTCCGGCGCCGCGCTGCGCGGAGCGAGAGCTCTCCCCTGCGCCCGAGCCGCACATCTCCGCGCCGCCCCGCTCTGCCCATCCGCCGCGCTCCGAGCCGGGACCCCGGGGGGGGGGGCGAAGGAGGACCTGAGCGGGGGGAGAGGGGGGCGAAGGGGGACCCGGCGGCTGCTCCTCCGCTCCCCCCCCGCCCCCTCGCGTTCTTCCCCGTGGGGCTGCCGTGCTCCGCGCGGGGTCCGGACGGAGCGGGGCCGGCCGGTGTTTAGCGGCTGAGCCGAGCTCCGTAACAGCTGTGCGAAAAGGGTGCGCGGCCCAAAACCCCCCCGACACCCCCGCGGCCGGACGGGCCGCCGCCGGGCCGGGCTGCACGCAGGCGGCAGTGGGAGGGAACGGGAGGGGAGGGGGGAGCGGCGGGGGGAGCCTTAGAAATTAGCGGGCGGGCTGTGATAGGCCGCTGTCTGCTCGGAGGGGGAGGCGACACTTTGTTACCATTGGGTATGTAAATTGTTTTTAATAAGATCTGCCCTTTTCTTCCTTTTTTTTTTTTGTTCTTTTTTTTTTTTTTTTTTTTTAAGGGAGAAAACAACCCCGTCTGCCTTTACCTTAGCAGTCTTGGAGGGGGGGGGTTATAACTCTCATTCATTCAAGGAAATGTTTTAGGCGTTTTAGACTAGCGGAGTCTCAGCACAAACCCTTGGGCACCAGCTCGCTCCTCGCGCTATAGATATATTTTTGCAAACAAGCCTTTCCTATTTCTTAAACTATATATATATATATATATATATATATAAAAATCAAACAAACAAACAAACCCAAAAGTGTTAATGGAAAAATCCCGGAGCGCAACGCAGCGCATCGCCAACCGGACCCCCCCCCCGGCCCGGCCCGGCCCCCTCCCCGCGGCTGCGGGCGGCACCAGGCGAGGGCTCTCCTCCTGGGGGGGGCTGTGGGGGGTGAGGCGGGGGGATGCACATTGTTGTATTTATTTTGAAGGCTGCAGAAGGCAGAGGAGCGCAGCACCACGTGCTGCTGACTCTCATCAGCATAATGATGGCCCCAGCCGGAGAGCCCTGTATATATAAACCACAAACCCCTAATCATTAGAAGTCCCAGCCTCCAAAAACCACATTCAGGACAAAAAAACTGCGGCGTTTTTTTTTCTTTTTTTTTTTTTTTTTTTTCTTCTCTATTTTTTTTCGTGTGTGTGTTGGTTTTGTGTGTGTTTTTTTTTTTTTTTTTTAATCCCTTCTCGGCTCCTTCATCTTCCCAACCTCAACTTCTCGGCACCCGAAAGAAGTTTTGTTGTTGTTTTTGCCTTTTTATTATTTTTCATTCTTTAACAACGCAATTTTCTGAGAGCCTAAACTAACTCCGACAAAGCGACACTTTAGTGATTTTTTTATCTATATATATAGAGGTAGATTTTTTTTTATTTTTTTTATTTTTTTTATTTTTTTTTTGCTGCTGCTGTTCGTCGAGGGCGGGAAAAAAAAGAAAAAAAGAAAAAAAAAAAATCCAAAAAGAACGCAACAAAAAGAGCGATTTCAGTTACCCGGTTCAGCTCCCCGGACTCGGATCCAGCAGCGACTCAATTAAAAGGACCGGACCGCACCGAAGCTGCCTTTCCCCACCATTTACTCGGGCACAGTTTCGGAATCAGCCCGCAGAGGGCTGCTCTGGGGTGCCTTTTCCCCTCGTTTTCCCCCTTCCTGACGATGCTGCCCGCTCTCCGCTCGCTGGGAAGCCGGCTGCCGGACTCGCCCTGAACCCCGATCGTCCCCACGGGCCGCGCCCGGCGCTCAGCCCCGCACCGCTCCTCGCACCGCAGCCCCCGGCACGGCGCTTCGGCTTCGCTTTTTTTGCTTTGCCGTTTGTTTGGCCGGAGGAGGAGGAAGACTTCTTCGGAGGAAATCGGGACGTTTCCCCTTCGCTCTTTGCGAGCGACGCTCCTCTTGAAGCGGCGAGCGCAGCCGGCTGCCTTCGACCCCTCTTAAAGCCCGAAAAGCGGACGGGGAAGGAGAGGAAGAAAAAAAGGAGAGAAAGTCGTGCGGCGCTGAGGGAAGAAGCGGCGGTTGGAAGGGGGGAAGGACGGACGGACGGACGGACGGCAGGAGGAGAAGCGGAGCCGGGCGCGGACGCACGGCGGGACGGTGCCGCTGCGGCGGGCGTTGCTGAGGGCAGCGCAGCCCCGCGCTTTGAGCAAACGAACGGCAACAGACTGAGATTTGGGGCTTTTTTTTTTTCTTTTTTTTTTTTTGTGCTGTTTTGGTGTTTTTTTCCTGTTTTTTTTTTTTTTCCGCCAGATTTTTTTTTTGCCCCCCTCGCCCCCCCCCTCCCGCCACTCTTTTTTTTTTCTTATTACAGATCCTCCGCTTTTTCATTTTCGCTATTTTGTTTTTAATACTTCTTTTTTTCCCCCACAACCCCCACCCCTCACTACACGCCTCCTCCAGCGATCCCCCCGCCGCTCCCCCCCCCGCCCCCCCGCCCCCCAATTCGCTAACTTGTGGCTGTTGTGATGCGTATTCCCGTAGATCCCAGCACCAGCCGGAGGTTCAGCCCCCCCTCCAGCAGCCTGCAGCCCGGCAAGATGAGCGAGGTCAGCCCGGTCGTAGTGGCCCAACAGCAGCAGCAACAGCAACAGCAACAACAGCAAGAAGCCGCCGTGCCCCGGCTGCGGCCGCACGATAACCGCACCATGGTGGAGATCATCGCCGACCACCCGGCCGAGTTGGTCCGCACCGACAGCCCCAACTTCCTGTGCTCCGTGCTGCCCTCGCACTGGCGCTGCAATAAGACCCTCCCGGTGGCCTTCAAGGTGAGCGCTCTCCCCCCGCGCTGACAGCGGCCGCTCGCCCCCCCTCGCCCCAACTCACCCACCCCACCTCCGCCCCGCAGGCGTTGCGGTGTTCGCCCCCCCCCGCGGCCCGCAATGCCCGCCGTGCCGTGCCCCCTCCCCGCGCTGCAGTGTTTGCTTCATCCCGCGGTTCCCCCCGTGTCCCCCCCCTCCCCGTAGTACATCCCGCACCCCCAGTGCCGCATCGACTTCTGTGCCCCTCTCATCTCGCCGTTCCTTTTGTGCCCCCCCTCCCCGTCCTTTACTGAGCTCTGTGCCCGCACATCTTGCACTGAATTCTGTGCAGCCCCGTCCTACAGCGCCTTCTGTGCCCCCCCCCCCCCCCGCAACGACTCCTGTGTTTCCCCCCCATCCCCTACCCCGTGCTGCAATAACTTCTGTGCCCCTGTGCCCCCCTCTCGTTTTGCACGGACTTCTGCTGCAATGCCTCATCCTGCACTGACTTCTGTGCCCCCCTATCTTACAAAACTTCCTGTGCACCCCGGTCTTTCGTTGAGTCCTGTGCCCCCTCCACCCACCCCCCAATCTTGCAGTGTGTATTCCCTTATCCTGCAATGAGTTCTGCGCCCTCTCTGTCCTACACTGATTTCTGTGCCCCCCCATCCTCCAATAGCTCCTGTGCCTGTGCCTCATCTTGCCTTGAGTCTTTTGCCCTTCCATCCTACAGTGACTTCTGTGCCCCCTGCAGTGCCTCCTGTGCCCCCCCCCTCCACCCCGTGCTATATTGCCTCCTGTGCCCCCCATCCTGCACTGATTTCTGTGCTCCCCCTGCACTCCCTCTGCTCGGTATGTGTGTCCCAAGGCTCTGTAGGGTCTTCTGTGCCCCTCTCTGTGCTCCAGTGCCAACTGTGCCCCCCACCCCAGTCTGCCAGTGCCTCGCCTACTTCTGTCTGCCATGCCCCCGCATCCCACTGTATTTCCTGAGCCCTCTCTGCCTTGCAGTGCCCCCTGTCCTCACTCTGCCCCACAAAACATTTGCAGACCCTCTCGTGCCCCCCCCCATCCTGCAGAGCATGCTGTGCCCCCCCACCTCACTGTGCCACGGTGTGTGCTGTGCCCCAAACCCTCCCAGCCTCCGGGATCAATCTTGTTATTTCCACTCCCCTAATGCATAGCCCCCTCTGGGTTCCCCCCATCCCTGTGCCACCCCCACAGCACCCCCCTGAGCATCTTAGTGACTTTTATTTAAAAAAAATAACAAGATTCACCCATCCCCAATTGCTCAGTAGAGGGGTGCAGAATGGGTGCCCCCCCCAAACCTTCCCTTACGGGCAGCCCCAGAATCCCAGCCTCGAGTCCTGGCTCCTGGAGTTGGAGGGGGCACACAGGGGTTTGCAGCAGGGGTTGGGATCCTGGTGGGGGTTCCGCTCACTTTTCCTGGCCCAGGGGTGAGGAAGCCTCTGCAGGGGGGCTGAGGGGGGGCACAGAACCACACTGCGAGCGCCGCTTCTCATTTTCTGTCTCCATCCCCGCGGCGTGCTGATGAGAGGAAAACATTTCTTAAAAACTGCAATAGCAGCACCATGTGTGTGCTGTGTTCTGCAGCCCTCCGTCCTCCCCGCAGCATCGCACGGCCGCACAGAGCCCCCAGCCACGTCTTTGGCTGGGGAAGGCTGGCAGCACCTGCCTGCAGTGGCTCACGGGCAGAGCTGGGAGCAGCCCTATGTCCCAATGCTGCCGCAGTGTCCCCTTAGGTTGCGTTTCCTGCGTGTCTCTGTTTTGTCAGGGAAAAAATGGGTAAAAACGGCTAAAAGAGCTGATTTGGGTGTGCCTGGCCATAAAGGCGATGTGCGGGTGGCACTTTGCTGTCGGAGGGAGCAGGGATGCAGGCAGAGGGGGAGAGACCTGATGGATCTGGGGCTGCAGTTACCCCGTGTGGGGCCTGCCTCGTGCTTGGGTGGAGATAGCAGAAAGTGAGGTGTCTTCTGCCACTGGGCCTATGGGGTGCCACCAGGTGCCTCCAGTGCATGAAACTCAGGTCAGAGCTCAGCTCTGGTTCCTGGGGTGAGGAGGAGTCTCCCAGGATCGCAGTTGTAATTCGTTCACTTGTAGATGAGCTCGGTGTTGTAGTTACTTCCTATAGAAGCAATGCGAGGGCTTCGTGTTATTGCCTCTGTATTTCTGCTTCCGTTTGAAAAGCCTGAGTGTGCCCCTGCCTTGCAGCCACGCAAAGCAGGCAGTCCCAGCTCACAGCAGGAAGGCAGAGAGCTCAGCTAGATAGTATTTAGGATGTTACTCCAATACGTGTGATAAAAGGGTTTACAGAGAGTGAGAGCACATCCCAAAGTGTTTGTGCTCATACATCCTGATATTTGGGTTGTGCGAGGGGCTGCAGGCAGGCAGTAGGATGCGGTAGGTTTGTTGATGTGCTGAGTTGTCCCTTCAGCTCTGAGCTTTCACACACAGCATGCAAGATGCTCTTCTTAAAACATGCCGTGTATGGATGCCCTTATTTCCTGCTGGAGGCTGAAAGGGCCACGCTGTGTGCAATCAAGGCAGAAGATGTGAACACGAAGCAAAAGTGCCATTCAACAACAGGTACTAAGAAGACTTTCTGCTTAGCAAAATGATGGTTGGAACCCATCAGACAGGTTTTAAAATTGTATCTCGTTTGTCAGTGCAGCTTTCCTGCAGCTGCCCGATGTTTTCAGACCAAAGAAGCTGCAATGAAACACTTGATGTGATACAGCAGAATGGGAATTATCTCTAAAAAAACTGAAAAAAAGACAGATTTGGGCTATAGGAATCTCAGCTAGGCAGAAACTTGAAAGTAAAATGGCTCACAGACAACAGTTTTTGAAGTTTTATTGGCAATAAATAATATGTTGATGATAATGTTTTGAGTGGTGCGTTAAGTGTGTCATAATTCTCTCGCAGAGCTCTCCAGTTAAAAAGTACTCTGGATATAGCACTGTTTTAATTTAAAAAAGAAAGAAGTTAGATATAAATCACACGCAGGGAAGGAAGTGTGTAATAAACAGCGCTGGGTTTGATTATAATTTTGTGAAATAATGTTGGCTAAGTGTCACATTTGAATTTTAAGTATTAATATTTACACACTACGGGGAGGGAGTCTGTGTGGGACTCACAGACCAGTTGGTAAGGTTGGCCGTGCAAACTGCATCTGCTGGTACTGCTCTGACCGCTCTGCAGTGCCCAGGCAGCAGAGAAATGGGCCTTGTGCACCCAATCCTATTTCCTTTGTGATGTGTGGTAGCCTTTTGTTGGCTGCAGCCATCGGGATTTGGCTCTGTGTTGACCCTGAGAGTTCTTTCTGAAGGCCACAAGGACCCACCTGGCTGGCTGTTGGGGTGGCTGTAAGGATGCAGTGCCCTGCTGGCTGTTGGGGTGGCTGTAAGGATGCAGTGCCCTGCTGGGTGTTGGGCTGGCTGTAAGGATGCAGTGCCCTGCTGGCTGTTGGGCTGGCTGTAAGGATGCAGTGCCCTGCTGGGTGCTGGGCTGGCTGTAAGGATGCAGTGCCCTGTTGGGTATTGGGGTGGCTGTAAGGATGCAGTGCCCTGCTGGGTGTTGGGCTGGCTGTAAGGATGCAGTGCCCTGTTGGGTATTGGGGTGGCTGTAAGGATGCAGTGCCCTGCTGGGTATTGGGCTGGCTGTAAGGATGCAGTGCCCTGCTGGCTGTTGGGCTGGCTGTAAGGATGCAGTGCCCTGCTGGCTGTTGGGCTGGCTGTAAGGATGCAGTGCCCTGCTGGGTGATGGGCTGGCTGTAAGGATGCAGTGCCCTGCTGGCTCTTGGGCTGGCTGCTGGCTGTGGTTCCAGATGATGCTGGTAAAAGCAGAGCACTGCAGTGGACAGAAGGAAGGCAGAAGAGCAGCCGTGAGGTGTGAGACCTCTCCCAGTAGCACAGCAGTAGTTCAGGGGCTGTCAGCATTTCCACTCCAAACCCCAGTTTTCAGAGTTTATAACTCAGCTGTTTTAAATAGCTTCAAGCTGCAACCTGCTGTATAAACTGCCAGCCCAGATGTATATTTTTAAACAAATAATAATAATAAAAAAAAGAAGTCGTGCAAATCAGTTTTTCTGGTTTAAGTTATAGAACATTATAATATTTTTAATGGTATCAGATGCTCTGTTGGCAGTATCTCCAGAAAAGACATTTTCAAGTCCCAGAGAGCTGAGATTCAGAGGCTTTTTGAATTCACTGCTTTGCAAGAAGAGTTCTTGGAGCAGTAGATATCAGCATCTGTGCAACAGGTACTGCAGCTTCATTCAGAACAAGTTTTTTGCTATACAGAAGGTTGCAGTGCCTGCTCCTGGGCAGCGTTTCTCTCACTTCCAGCATAGGAGCCATAGTGTGGCCGTTTCCAATCTCACCAGACTGAAACCAGGCAAATGGGTCTCCTAACCAGATGGGAATCGTGCAAAGAGATGCATGGCTGTCGTCAACCTGTAAGAGCTGGTTTGATTTTATTCTGTGCCCTCCGTCGAGCTTTCGTGCCTTTTGGGGCTTTGGTTAAAGATAGAAGAATGTAGTTTTATTCGTCCAAACATGTGGGTAGCTTCGTGTGGGAAGTAAACGCCACGAAATGGAGGAGATATTTGTGTGTGAAGAGTAGGTAACAGACCTGCGCTGTGCCTGTGTTAATCTTTATGCTTTTGCTTTGCTCTTATTCACTTTGCTGTGCACTTACAGTCCCTTTTCTACAAATATTTAAGTAATTTCTGATGGATGCGTGGCATAACGTTTCCAAATCAAAGTTTATGCAGTCTTTCCATGCAGAAAGTTACACTTTAAAATTCCCCAAGCGATCTGTATTTCTCTGGGTTTCAAACACACCATGCAGCTTTGTTCTGGGCAGTGCTGTCACAGTAACCTTCTGGTGCTTCTTGGCTTTAAGGTCTAAAAGTGTAACAGTGACAAACGTTTTACCCAGCAGCGTAGTGAGGAGCTTTTGGTATGATTGGAGTTTCTTTTATCAGCCGAAGCTTTGTCTTTTCAGCCCTGATCTCAGCTCGCCTCTCGCAGTGAGCTGAGCACAGACCTTGCATCAGCTGCAGTGCAGGGATGCGCTTATTGCAGTGGCACACGCAGGGATGCCCTGGCAAAACGTGCAGAGCCAAACAGCACTGACAGGAGGAAAGGCTGGGAAGGAAACCTGGCAGAAGTAATGGGGTGTGTGTGAGCAGAGGGCCTTTTTGGAGGATGTCAGCCCTGCCCGGTGTCCGGTGAGGGGTGCTGTGCTGCCGGGCAGCAGGAGGGAACAGGAGGGAGTGGGGCTGCAGAGGGGCTGCAGTGGTTGTGCTGCCTCTTCCACGGCCCTGCTGTACTCGTGTACACTTTTTTTTTGCATTTCTGGAGTTCAAGGGATTCTTGTTTGTTTGTTGGTTTGTTTCTCGCCGTGGAGAAAGCATAGATTGCAAGTTCCCGGGGTGCTGACGTGCGTCCCGAGGCTGCCTGGAGACATCGTGCTCTGTCATAAGCTGAGATGGGAGCACGTTGCAGGCAGCTCCCTGTGTTAGGCTTTGAGCCAGTATCCATTTACCGGGGGTGTGAGTTCAGCAGCTGATTAGCTGTGATCTGACAGCTCCCTTTGCAGCCTGTGGAGCCGGCTGCTGCCAGAGCCAGGCGGGCTGGGGGCTGCTCACTGCACTGCCCAGAGCATCTCCTGCTCCTGGGCCCTTCAGACTGCAGCCCTTCCATGCAGATGCAGAAATTGGTGGCGGAATTCCCGTTTGAGTTTGGGGTGCTGTTACCATCAGCATAACCCATTTCATATGGCATTTCAGCTTCGCTTTGTACTTTTTCTTAAGTGAGATGAGCTCTCTTTTTCGGCAATGCAGCCTGTTGTAAATACTTTCAGATTTTGTATGCTTTTGTCATCGATTTTTATTGTTGTAAAGGAATGCTTCACAGCACACTGGGCCGTGTAACGTTCTCCATATATGCACCAGGCTGGATGTGGCTCTGGGCAGCCTGGTCTGCTGGTTGGCAGCTCTGCACATAGCAGGGAGTTGGAACTAGATGAACACTGTGGTCCTTTGCAACCCAGGCCATTCTGTGATTCTACGATACATATTCAGAACTCCTTTTTATTTAATGAATATCACAGTTCAACCTTCAATCATTAGTTTATGGGAAAGACGTTTGTAAGTAAGTCTTATGATAAAATGTAATGCTTGTGTCAGGAGATGGCCTGAATGAAGAATAGGAAAAGCCACAGCTGCTGCTCCCCCACCTCAGAATTGGTGTGGGGACTCGGTGCTGTGTGGGTATGCAAGGAAATGCAGAGCACTGTGTCACGAGCCGTGCTTTCTTGTCCCCTCCTCACAGGTGGTGGCCTTAGGAGAAGTGCCCGATGGGACCGTGGTCACCGTGATGGCTGGGAACGACGAGAACTATTCGGCAGAGCTGCGAAACGCTTCTGCTGTGATGAAGAACCAGGTGGCCAGATTCAATGACCTGCGATTCGTGGGCAGAAGTGGCAGAGGTAGGTGGCTGCTTTGTGTGTGGGCGCAGCGGGGTGAAGGGAAGGCCTGGATATCAGCCTCGTTTCACAAGGAAACGCAGATTTGTGTGCCGATAAATCGCCGTCTGCCTTTCACGGATGCCTGTTTTATTTGCAAACTTGCCAGCCCAGCGAGGTGTTCTCTCTTGCAAAGCTTTCCTGCCACGTCTTTGTTCATTTTTGGAACGCCGGTATTGAAAAAATGATTCACAGAATACCTTGGTTCCCCATTTTAATCACGCAGCAGAGGCGGAAGGAAACGAGGATATTTGTGATGGTTTTCTTACAGTCAGACAGTGCATCTCAGGCCGCAGTAACAAGAGATGAAGGATTCCTTTCAGCAGTGGCGCTTCTGCTGGAGTTGTTGCAGGAGAGCTAGAATTAAAGGAGCGTTGCATATCACATGTGTTTTAGTTTATGGTCTTTAAAAGCTCACAGCTATTGGTGGAAAGCCTTCTGGTGCTTCCCTGCCCTTTGTGTATGACCCGCAGACAGAAACCTCGCTGTTGTTGGTAGTAACCTGCCTGGCTTTTGTGAATTGATGGTAAGCTTTGGATGGAAGGAAATTCAACCTTTACTTTAAATGTCAGGGAGGGCGACTTCTAATTTTTTGGGAGATTTAGAGTGCTGTCATTGTCTTCCAGCTGTTCAGGAGCGTCCTGTAACCTGGGAAGCACACATAGAAAGCTTTTGTTACCACTGAGAGCTTGCAAATAACATAAGATTCTTGTAGCTGCCCTGAAATTGGAGGTAGTGATTGAAATGACCACTTGAGGGAAGCTGGCACTTCAGTCTCCAGTGCAGGAATGCTCAGAGGGATCTGTTGTATCAATCAGCCATCGATTCAGCCTCAGTGTTTGCGCGTTACGTATTTGCAGTAATTATTTGTTTTAAACTGGCCCTGCGTGGAGGGAAAGGAAGAAATAAAGGCAGAACTGCGTATGTGGAGGATCAGTAATAAAGCTAATTTACAGCCAGACACTTTAAGAGCAGCTGTACATCTCAGGGCTATTTCTCCCTCAAAAATACTAACCAAACGTATGACAGAGGCCGGGATAGTTTCGGTCAGCTGGCAGGCTTTTACAATTACCGCTGTTTTGTGAAAGTGATTCCATCAGCGTGGCTTACAGCGGCTATTTTTTGTATTAGTGACTTGGCCAACAGCTCTCTTTATCATTTTACATCTTGAAAATTATTGGTAATAAAGGGTAACTTGAAAACAGAATAACTACTGCAGAAGCAGTTCAGTATAAATATGGCCTTCGCTGCCCTTTGGGATGTGGTGCTGCCTTCCTCTTCCATTTGTCTTGCTTCCTTTGGAAAAACCAGCCTGCTTTGTTACTGTGCTGATGGATGAGGTCTGAAGGTTCCCTGGCTCGGTCGCTAGCAGTGCCTTACAGAAAGAGTTCAGCAGTGTGTGACTGCTTCAGCAGTGCTGAAAAGAGCCGAGATGTGATGTACAACCTCAGATCTGCGGATTTCATTTGAAATGTATGATATATGCTTTTTTATTAGACCGTAGGAAATGAACTGAAGGGCCTGAGAACTCGGGAGGTGTAGATGTGGACACATACAAACACAAAGCCTCTGAATTTGGGCACCAGTAGTTCAACCTATATTCGTATCTAGTAGATCTGGAATAGAGTTTTTCTCTGATCAGTCTGGGTAGAATCTATGGAAAAGCGATAGTGTACTTTTCAAGCCCTCAACATATTTATTTAAGAGACTTCAAAGCAAAACAAAGGGTGTGCACTGTTTTACTATATTGGCTTTCTGAGTTTTGGCTAGTTTCCCAAATAGCAATTTTTATATTTAAAAAAAAAAAAAAAAAAAAAAAAAAAAAAAAAAAAAAAAAAGGAAGAAAAAAGACAGACTTAACTGCTTGCAGACTTTTCACGCATGGAAGATGAAGAAAGCTTCTTTTGATGAAGTGTAATTATGTCCAAACAGAGCTGACCCCCTCCCCCTATATTTCTTATGATCTTAACGGAAGAAAGTAGAGCTTTGCCTTTGAAGCAGCCGGGACTCGGTGGAGGATCTGAAATGCTGCATTCTGCTGCCAGAGGCGGGATGGAGAAATTGGTCCAGACTTGTCTCCCAGACTCAGAACAGAGAGGGAGAGAGAGAGAAGAAAGGAGAAAGAGTTATCATTACTGATAGGTTTTTATAACTCTCCTTAAAATAGCAGGAAAGAAAGCAGTAGCTGCAAAGAGAAGTGAGAAAGCAGATATGGTAGGTACAAGACCTGAAGTAAAACAGGAAAAATAAAGTAAGAAAGAAATCATTTTTCAGTGGCAAGAAACTAATCCACACCTGTTCCTGCCTTCAGATTTACATCTTTCTAAACAGCTTGCTCTTTGATCTCTGTATCTCTCAGTTTGATTGTGAGGGCTGAATCATCAGCTTACCGCTTCACCTTCTCTCCCACGTTCTTTCCCTGCTTCCCATGGCTCAGTGCAGTAACTGGATTCATACCCATCTTAGTGCTGCTCGCCTGACAGGAGCCCTGACTTCACGTTTTTGTTTGCATAATTTCTCTTAAATACCTTTCTGGATTCTTAAGAATAAGTAACCAGAGCTCTTTATATGCATGCAGAAGTTGTTTGTCTGTGGTTTAGAGGCAGGAGCTCACTTTTACAAGGCTGAGCCGCAGTGCAAGGGCAGAATTCCTGTCTTTCGTGAGCACGGGATCATAGGATCACAGAATCCCAGCATGGCCTGGGTTGCAAAGGCCCACAGCGCTCCTCCAGCTCCAACCCCTGCTGTGTGCAGGTCGCCAACCAGCAGCCCAGGCTGCCCAGAGCCACATCCAGCCTGGCCTTGAATGCCTGCAGGGATGGGGCATCCACAGCCTCCTTGGGCAACCTGTTCCAATCACCTTCATTTTGTTGTCCCCCAGTGCTCTAATCACACTGGGACCTGACTGAAAAACACACAGCACACACAGGCTGCTGAGTCCCCTTTCCAGCTGACTTCTGCTTTCTGCCTTGTGTTTCAACATATGTCCATCCCCTCCTTTTTTTGTCGGCTGCACTCACATGTGTGAATAACAAAGCATGCACAGTTTGGACGCACGGAGGCATTAGTGCCAGATGCCTGCTTGGCGAGGGAATTTAATAACAGAGCTCTGCAATTAGTCGTCAGCTTCTAAAAGCAGACAGTTTAAGCGACTGAGGGCATAAAGGTAGGCGATAAAAAGTGCATTAAAGGATTTCCTGGCAGAGGGAGGATCTCTGTGAAGTGACTTCCATCTATCTGGGGGAGGCACACGCGTCGCTGAAACGTGTGACCTTAAAAACATATTTTGTTCTCAATCCTGTAATATGTAAATCATTTCTTGAAAGCTCTGGGACTGGAGTGTGCTGGCGGGCCGTGCATCACCCCGCTATAAAGCCATGCTTTGTTTTGCTGAGTGCGGTGGGGCTTTGTTAATGTTCATTCATTAATGTTTCTGTTTGTTAGAATACCAGCTAGGGAACAAAACCTATTTCCCTTTCAGATGAGGTGCTTACCTGTTCAACATAGGCTGGCTGATCGTTTAGGAGTGCTCACAGGCCAGGTGGAAACACCGCTCTTTGTGTTAAGGAGTGCATTTTTTCTATCGCGTTGAGATGCATTTAGCATACAAAACCTTGCAGTGCTTCTCTACAGAATGATTTTACAGGGTCTTTTAAAGTAGTATTGTTTTGTTGGCCTGATTTTTTAGCCATCAGTAGACTGATTTGGCACATAAAGAGAGTGGTAGCGGTGTAAGGCCAAAGGCTTCGTTCCAAGGCATTCAGAAAATTCCCTTAGCATCTTTGGTGGTTGCCAGTTGTATTCTGCTCCTTTTATATGGGTAACTGTGATCTGAATGATAGTGTGTTTTCAGAGGCTGATGCTAACGGAGGCCTAAGATCCATCCCTAGCAAACTGGTGGGTGTCCAGGCAGCAGGCTGAATTCTTGCTTGGATAGAGATAAAGAGCTCACAGCACTGCAGACCTCAACAGGCAGCGTGGAGGCACTGTGTGCCCAGTAGGGATATTGCTGCACGTCTGGGCTCTGCCTACAGGCATGGCATACAGGCAAAACGACTGCTGTACGACTGAGGAGCAGGACTCGATGAAGACTGGGCAACCTCAGTACTCTCCCATGGTGGTCGCTCTGAGAAGATCAGGGAACAGACCCATTTCCTGGGGCAGCGGGGGGAGCTGCCTTTGGCCATGTCTCCCCATTGCATCTGAGGCCAAACTCAGCCGCCTGACACCTTTATACCTTTTGGCCTCCGCCTACAGAAAGATGGGTGCAGCCAGAGCGCGGCTACACCTGGAAGAGCATTTTACTCCAAGGGACTGTTACATGTCCTTAAAAAAATCCATGTCACATTTCAGTGTATGAGAAAAAGGGCTGAGACATTTTGAAGTTGTACTCCGGGTGATGAATGTTGCGTGTCTCAGTCAGGTTTGGGGCAGATACACAGCTTCAGCAGGACAGAAAGACTAATTACTAGTTTTGACAGCCAAAGCTCTGTTCCATATTATGCCTTTTACATAAGCTGTTCTATTTTAAGCTTGAAAAACCTGCGCTAAGTTTGTGCTCTTAGATATCGTTTAAGATTTGTGTCTTCAGAGTTCGACAAGAGGAAAAGCACCGGCAGCAGAAATGCACAGAGAGACAGGGAGAGAGAAAGAAAGCACTTCAGAGCCTGGTGGGGGAGCAGCTGAAAGGAGCAGGCAGGCTTGGGATGCTGACTGTTTTATTGAGTCACTGCTGCACGCCCACCTTTTCCTGTCTTGAAGCAGTTTTCAGTTCTGATTATCTGACGTGACTAACGGTTGCATATCTAACAGATTACAACTGTCAGTGGCCGGTGCCTGGTGAGAACGTGTGCCCGGCTCACCCAGCTCAGCCCCTCTGCTCACGTTTAAGGCTCCCTTCGGCCGAGGGCTCCAGATGCTCTCGTGCAGTGCCTGTGTGAGCTCCAGCCTTGAGAAACGCAGCCGCAGCCTGGCGGGGGAAGAGCGCGTGCACGCTGCGGTTTCTCACTGCTGCTGGAAAGCCGAGGGCTGCCTCAGTGTTGAACAGAGAGACGTGCAGTCGTGTGTAGGGAGAAAAGTGTGCTCCAGTAATGATGATATCACCACGTCAGCCCTGGAGCACGAAGGACAGGAGACGCTGATTCCCTCTTCTAATGGCTCCCGCGGGAAAACGCAGCCTTTCCTCATCTCATTGTAGTCAAACAACGACACGATGGAGCTGTGCGAAGTAAATAACATGTGGCCACATTCTGCTCTCTGTCCCGCAGCTGCAAAACTGGAGTAAATTTTTAAATTATCCGCCTCACTTTGGATTTACACCACTTTCAATACAGCAAGGAATTTGGCTTGTCCTCGGCAGTGAATCACTTTTGTTCTGTCGTTGCATGATGACCCATTATTAAATAAGGAACATTTAGATTGTCAACACATGGACATATTCTTGACGTAGAGTAAAACTGAAGGGGAGGAAAACTCCTATGGTCAGTTATGTTTTTAATTTTCGCGATTGTGGTAACGACAGGGAATAATTTTAAACGTCTCCGACTCTTTACTGAACATGCATGTGACTGTTTTCATGTTGTAATCACTCATTCCTCGTTGTTTTTTTTTTCTCTTTGTAGGGAAGAGCTTTACTTTGACAATAACTGTCCTGACAAATCCCCCCCAAGTCGCTACATACCACAGAGCCATAAAGGTTACGGTGGATGGGCCGAGGGAGCCAAGAAGTGAGTATTACACTCTTATTTTTGCACTTACGCCTGCTTAATTTTGTTTAACGGAGATCCATACATGAAATATAGATCTTTGTCAAACGCTGGGCCTTGCTCAGCAAAATATGTAAGCGCATGCTTAATTTGGAGCCTATTGGACCACACACATACTCGCATTAAACACACGCCGAAGTGCTTGGCTGAATTTGGGCAGTCCCGAACCCGATCCTCATTCACATCAAGGTCTTGATACATTATCTGCCAGTGTAAATGAGAACTGAACCCACGGTATTTATGTGTAATCTGATTTAGGCTAATAGATGCAGTCCTGCAATGAGCCGCTTCCCTCAGCTCCTGCAAACTTCCAACTGAAGGCATTTACAGCACAATAGGAGGTCGGTCTTACAGGATCAGTCCTAGCACAGAAGGATAATATACAGTATAGTGTTTTTTTGTGTGCCCTTAAATTCTTTTGCCATCAGATAATTAATGCACCTGGTTAATCTCATCAAACCTGAAATTGATTTTCAGCTACGGACTCATCACAGACCCCCTGGGGGCCAAAGAAAGCTCCAAACACCCTGCATCTACAGCACGGCCTTTGTTTCTTATCTGTGCACAGAAAGTGTGCTTAATGGCAGCGTAGCTGATCAGATTGTCCCTCAGCGTGTTGCACTCATAGCTGCACGCCTTCCCAAGTTACAAAGAATCATAGAATCACAGAACAGCCTGGGTTGCAAAGGCCCACAGCGCTCCTCCAGCCCCAACCCCTGCTGTGTGCAGGTCGCCAACCAGCAGCCCAGGCTGCCCAGAGCCACATCCAGCCTGGCCTTGAATGCCTGCAGGGATGGGGCATCCACAGCCTCCTTGGGCAGCCTGTGCCAGTGCCTCACCACCCTCTGCATGAAAAACTTCCTCCTCATATCCAACCCAAACCTCCCCTGTCTCACTTTAAAACCATTCCCCTTGTCCCATCACCATCCACCCTCACAAGCAGCCGTTCCCCCTCCTGTTTATGTATGGCTCCCTTCAAGTACTGAAAGGGAATGTGAGCAATGATTTGTGGCTACATGTTTACGACAGTTGTGCTTTGCCACCCTCCAGCAATGCTATGGCTGGCCAATACTTTTAGATACAGGCAAGCGTGGTCAGTCCGTTGTGATCTCTGCCTGACTCTCTGTCTCACACATTTCGAAGGCAACCAGTATGACAGCATCTGGGTAGCAGTGATGAGTCAGTTCTGGAGTTTTTTTTAATCTGACTAGAATGAGTCTTTCTAAATTGATTGGATTAACCAGGTATAGCTGCATTTAAATTGCATTTGGAGATTAAGAATTATTTGATGAATAACCACATTAAAAATATCCCTTTTGTGGAGGCATCTCAGATAATTGTTTTGCCTTTGATCTGCACTTACAAGTGAGCCCCGTGAGGAGCTTTCAGGGAGTTTTGCTGAGCACACCACCAAGACAGAAGTGGAAGGCTGCACGCAGCGATGTGTTTCTCGTGTTAATCCATGCTGTGGTGCCACCTCCTGCACAACTGAGAGAGGGAAACCAAAATGCCTTCTGTGAGAGCTACCCAGCTCTTGTACCTCTCCTAGAACAGCAGATAAAAAAGCGGCCAGCTGTGGAGAAGTTTCGTTCTGTAGGTACTTAGGCTGCTGCCCTCTCACATCTGAGGTTTCTGTCAGTCACAGGAAGGGGATTTTCATCCTTCCATCCCTCTCTTGCTGGAGCAGTGCTCTTTTTAATATTCAAACTGTTGCTTCAAACTGTGCTCAGTGTGTAAAAACCGGGGGATATCACTTGGCCATTCCCATTTGGAGGCTGCTTCTGTGTACTGAGGCATCTGCAGAGCAAATCTCAGACGGCAGACAACAAATGCACTGATGGAGTGGAGTAGATTGAAAACGCTGCAGCTAAAAGTGTTGGCTGCTCACTGTGGCACAGAGGGGGAACCTTTGTCTGGTCCTGTGATGGCAGCTAAGCTGTGCTGGCAATTTGTGAATTAAAGGTGAGACTGTGTTAATATAGCAGTGTGAGATCTCCAGGTTCTGCCTGAGTTGTTTAGCCAACCTCTATACATGACTCCTATTTGCTGTTTCCATGGATTTCAGCTCTAGTGAGGGATACTCAGTAACTAAGAACGCCGGTTATCGTAGCCTAGATGGGATTATTGTATCTTTCTTTCTGTCTTTATTTGTTTATTAAGAAAGCCCCTTTCAAGAGGCTTTGGGTGTAAGAATTTCAGCTCCGTAGTGAAGCTCTGCTCTGGGGTCAGCTTGGTTCTGCAGGTTCTGTCATTGCAGTCGCATGCTATAAGGGAGACGATGTCCCCAGGATGACTTGTTATTAAATGTGAATTTTCAGGGAAAGTGTAGCTGCAGAAGTACCGTGGGAGTTTCACTGAAGTTCTGTTCATTCTGGGAGCTCCCAAGCTCGTGCAGATTTATTACTGTGTGGTGGTGATCACTCAGGAAGTGTATCTGGCGTTTATGTTGCATGAGGAAAATGAGGTGGTTGGGGGCAGTGAGGAATTCAAGTCACCAAATGGATCTGATAGCGAATGTGTTTTTCTTAACAGATTAAGTATCTGCCAATAGTGCCCCTCTCTGCCAGGATCTGTACTTCACTCAGACATCTCAGGCATGTTCTCGTTTTCTTCTCTCTGGCAACTCAACCGGAGCTGTCACATCACAAACAACTTTTCTCTTAATATACACATCTGGCGTTGGCAGTTGGACCAACTTCATAAGAGCACATGATCATCATTCATTACGAGATTAAAAAGTACCCCATGGCATCATTGATGTTTTCTAACTTTGATCTCTTGCAGTTGTGATTCATCTCAGTTATAAAACTTCCCTTTAAAGGAACACAACCGATGACTTATTAGAACCTTCATTCTAAGTAGCGTAAACATAAAATTATGCACGTCTCTACAAAATGTCATTTACTTTGTTGCCAGCTTATCATTTTAAGACATGACATCATGCTTCAGATCGTGAATTTGTAAGGCTTGTTTATAGGCAAGGCACTTTGACCTTCTGCTGGCAAGTTGGCTCCAGCAAACAAATGCTGCGTGTTTTCCAGCAGCAGCAGGAGCAGCAGCCATCCCATGACAGCCATCCAGAGGCTGACATTAAGTGTGCTGAACAGTCATGGCATGCAGTGATGCAGTGACTCCAGTTGGGATTTTGGATGCTTCAGGAAGTCAGGTTCTTAAATGTGAGTGCTGGTTGATTGTATTGAACGTTTGCTTGTAGAAGCTCACAGCCTTATTATCTTAAAACATTTCAATAGAGGTTGGGCTGTCAGGTTGCTCTGTTAGGAAAGCCTGGCAGTTTCTTCTAATGATTGATTATTCCTGGGAAAAGATTTTTTTTTTCAGTCTATCTGCTTTTCCAACCAGGATCTTATTTGTTGCACAGCCTCTGTGCTGGGCTGGGACAGCACATTGCATTGTGAGGGATGGAGTCCAGAAACCATTGTATAAGGTCTTTGGGAGTCATTGGGAAATCCTGCCAATGCCTGTTTTCTCTCCCCTTCTGCGGTATAGAGCCTATGCCATCCACAGCCCTTAGCCCTCAGAGCTGCCTTCCAGCTGGGAGGGCTGAAAGAAGTTTTGCTGGGAACCACATTGTCACAAGGTCATAATGAACAAACAGGAAGCAAGGTATAAACCCTAAAGGAATTAAAAGAACAAAAAAACCCAACAACCTTTTACCTAACTCCTCTTACAAATGCCAAACTAATCAATTTAAGTTGAAGGAGGGCAGATGGAGGTTGGATGTCAGGGGAAGTTGTGTGCTGTGAGAGTGGTGAGGTGCTGGAACAGCTGCCCAGAGAGGCTGTGATGCCCCGTCCATCCCTGGAGGTGTTCAAGGCCAGGTTGGATGGGGCCCTGGGCAGCCTGGGCTGCTGTGAAATGGGGAGGTTGGTGGCCCTGCATGGCACAGGGGGGTTGGAGCTTCGTGATCCTTGAGGTCCCTTCCAACCCAGGCCATTCTGTGATTCTATGAACTGATGGTTTGTCCTTCAGCAGCAGCCCTAGAGAGCAGGAGATGAGTCCTTGGCTGCTTTTTGCTGGAGGAGTGTCTGTGTTTTTATATCTTGCTTCCAAAGACTTCATCTCTAATCAAAGATAGTGTCCAAAATCACTGGCAGCAATTTAGCGTATGAGCACATGTGGAAAAGTCCCTCTGAGTTTGGGGCTGCTGGTTTTGGTAGGAGAAAACTGCTACATTTCATTCAGCTCCCAAGTATTTCCCTGCTGCCGTAGCTGGTAAGGTGCACCCACGGTGAAAGGTATGAGCAAACAGTGCCACGTTGTCTGTGCATGCTACAAAAGACAGCAAAAGCAAGCAGGAGCTTCTGGTGAGCCGTTGTGTTAACCGTGTGGCTGCAGAGCGCAGATAAGCCATGGAGATGTTTGAGATTCCTAGACTTAAAACCATAACAGCGTTTAGGAAGTTCTCTCTCCCTTCTTTCAAAGGCAGAGGGTGGAGGGATAAGGCTGGGGCTGATGGAATGTGCTTGCGAGCAGAGCAACTTTAAATCTGTCAGTATAATTTTTTTTCTTCCTTTTTTCTTTCTTTCTTTTTTTTTTTCTTCTTCCTTTCTTTCTGTTTTCTTTCTTTCCTTCTTTATTTATTTATTTATTTATTTATTTAGCTTTTATTATTATTATTATTCTTTTTTTCATGTTGACTGACTGTTGGGAGCTGGGCTGGTGGCCAAGCAGGAAATGACACATCGAGAGGCATTCGTGTTGTGCAACATTTGGTGGAACTGATGCAAGGATACATTGTCTGTTTACGCATTCCTTCCCTAACAGCCTGCATGGCAGTAATTTTATTCAGGGACACATGGCATGCTACAGCAAGGAGCTAGATACTTAACATCTCCTTACGCAGAATTAGCACAGCAGTTAAAACACGCCGTGTGTCCCCAGCTTAGAATACTGTCTGGCTTGCCTTCAGAAACCACACCACCAGCCCCTTCCTCCCCAAG